AAATCTCTTCTTATTCTCCCTATTATGTACTATAATGTTTATGACCATCATTTTGCTGCATTAGTTACTGATAGGGGCCTTGGTGCTCCTGACAGGTGTCAGTTTACAAAAGCAGGAGGCTCATAAGCAATAAGAAATTCACACTCTGTAGTCTCTAGAATATTATCAGGATTTACACAACAATCTAGACTAATGCAGAGGTTGTAGTGAGAAAACCTGGTCTCAGAGTTAGGGCTCTTCTTGGGGAGCCAGAAGGAACAATGCCAAGAAGGCATCCTGGAGAAATCTTTGTGATTGTGACCAAATGGGGCCTGTCAGAACTGGATCCTCTCATACTCCACATTACACTTTAAACAATAGTAGTTAGGATTTAAAAGAGTCTTTCACTGTTTCAGAAGCCAAAGCCTGAGGAGAAGAGTACTTTAGATGAAGAATACTTTTTTAAAAAGATAGAGGGAGTTAGAACAGACAAATGAAGAGAAAGACGTGAGATTGACTAGGAAAACATGGCCAAGGGAGGATCACCATCCTAGGCCACATAAATACTGGCTTTAAGAAATGTTGGTTTCCTACTAGATGTATGACTCAGGAAGGTTTTGAACCCTCTCTTTATTTCGTGGCTCTCTAAGGTGAGTTGACGTTATAGACTGATTTAATTAAGGGAGGAGATGGGTCAAGCCTCTAGTCACATTAAGAATATACCTCGGATAATAAATTTTGATTCTGTTTGTCAATGGGTAAAGCCAGAATTGAAATAGCATACCTCCAGTGCACTTCAAAGCAGGTAGTACTTTAAATGCCACAGAATTTGTCTGCATGAGAGCCAAGAGGCAATGTAGGAGCATGGCAAGAGGGGTGGACTGGAAGTCAGGAAAGAAGCTATTACAGGAAAGAAGCTATCCCTGTAAAGGGATAGATCCAGAATGACATCACCCCTTGGGGCAACGCTTTAGCAACCAGATAGTTATAACTCATTAAAACGAGATCTAGCATGATGACTAAATTATATGTTGAATGTTTAGGTACTGGGGAGTGTATTCAGTATCTAGTCAAGTATCTAGTATCCAGTCAGCCCTATTACATATATGGTTTACATTTTAAAAATAGCTGCTTGCAGAATAGACACTTTAGATACTTTATGTGTCTTTTCATCTCTCAGTAAATTACTGCTTAAATTTCTATGTTAGTCAACACTTATTCGTTTTTCAGAAAGGTAACAAATGAAAACAATTCTTCCTAATAGTTTCCTCCTACTTGAGTGGAAGTGGCTTTACTTGTTTTAGAAGAGCTCACTAAGGCTTGAGCAGTTAGCAAAATTATTTTAAAATGTTACCTCTTTTGTTAGATTTCTTTAAATCTCTTATCTGGTTAATATATCATCTGCCTAAATATTAGCAGGACTTGAAAGGGTCCACATTGATGAATTTTGGTCTCCCTCAGAAATGGTCCTACTCATACCAGGAATTTGAATGCTATGATATTTAAAGAAAAAAAAAACAAACAGAAAAAAACATTTTTTTTTTTCCTTTATCTTTGGCCACATGTGAAGGTGAAAGGGATTAATGACCTTTCTGGTACAGATGACATTTAAAACTGTGACTCAGGTCCTCCCACTCTCAAAAGAATATTGATAACTTTTAAAATTGGAAGGTACAGTGAAGACATACTTCCTCACTCTGCCTACGAATCACAAGGAGCTGACTCCTGTCAGTGCTTTTTAACTGCACAAAGCTTAGAGAAGGGCATTCAGAACGGGGTGGGGGAAGGGAGGGAAGTGAGCACTCAGGAGTCATAATTATTCGCGTTCTTCAGGGGTCGAGAAGAAGAGGTAATTTAAAGAAGTCCTAAAGAGAAACAAGAAATAAGGGGACATGGTTAGGAAAAGAAAAGGGGAGAATTGATACAATTTGGGTATTTTGCGAACACTGGAGAAAGCAACAGTCCCCTTGACTCCCATTTAATTCACAATTCTGTCTGTCCTGGAGACATATATTTAGTTGAAAGCTTTGGAGAAACAGATTTAGAATTTTGCTACTAGACTCAATATGAGCCCCTTCAAAGTAGGCTGGAGTAGGTCTACCAGGCTTCACAAGTGGAGGGTACTGCTAAGGGTGTGAATAAGGGGAGGGGCGATGAATCTTGTTGCCAGGCAGGGAAGGGGGAACACAGCAGAACAAAATGGGATTTGAAACTAAAAATCTATTAGGAAAGATGAAAGGATGGAATTGGTGTTATTTATACTGAGAGGCCTTAATATTGGTCCAGTGTGGGAAGGGCTTTCACACTGAGTATTATCAACAACTGTTTTCATTTTGTCCTGAATGGAGAACTGAGAGAAGGAATCTGGTTTTAGGTCCCCAGGATGGATGTAAAGTTTGTCCAACTATGGAGTTTTCCAGGCATTGGGTCAAGTAGCTAAGGGAAACTGAAGAAGCTCTTTATCTGAAGATACTATTTGAAAATGTTTCTGGCTAGGAAGACAGGATGCCCGATTTCTGAAGTTTCCATGATGGGTTGGCTAAAGAAGAAAGGCACTGAATCCCCACGTTGACAGACAAATGGAGAGAGACACTGAGGGGCAGAGACCCGAGAGCCAACATTTTATACATTCTGCAGGCTAAAAAATGAGATCCCTATTTCTCAGTTCTATTTCTATCAGCCTCTGTCATGAAAAAGTTCCTCAAATTCTGGTTTTATTTAAGAAAGAAAAATCTCCTAGGAAAATGAATGTTATATTGCCAAGCTGCCTCCAGGGAAGCATTGAAGACTAGTTAAAATAATTGTAAAGCACACTGAAAACAGAAATTAGTCAGGAAAGGAGCTGTATTAAAATAAATGTATGAAAACCCAGTTGGGACAGCTAGGCATTTCACTCCCTTATGCTTCTCAGATGAGCAGCCCTTTCAAATGCAGCCTGTAATTGTTGGTCAGATCATATGGAAGTTAAGGAGCCCCTTGGTCATATTTTCAAAAGCAAATATAGAACAGTGACAGTCCTAAAAGGGAAAATCACAGATACATTCATATGCACTTCTTTTGTTCTTCAGATATTGAGAGGGCCAGCTAAACAAGATCACTTTGGATATGAACCTCTTTGTATCAGCCACACCGGAAAAGAAATGTTTTCTTAAAAAAAAGTTTTCACTTTCCTACATTTGCTAAGTCTGAGCTTTAAAAAAAAATTCTAAAATCATGTCAAGACAATACTGAAGCTGATAATATAAAAAGCGAACTAGAGCAGTAATGATTATTATTAAATGCACCAGATTAACTGCAGCAGGTTGGTGATGGGTGATAAATGCAAAGAAATAATATTTCAATCAACTCATGATCATAGGCAGATTCAAAGTTAAAATGACTATAATGTAATATATATTTCAATATAGAGTTGTTATATATAATGTGTATGTTCTAGCTTTCAGAAATACTGCAATGTAGTGTACTGTACTTAAGTAAGCATACCTAAATGTAACTCATATTCTTCCACAAAGTCACTAGTACTGTTAATTAAAAAAAACAAAAACAAAACCAAAAACGAACAACTCATTTTTTCTTCCAGTAAAAAGAAATGCCTATGGTTACAGTCACAGACTTTTGGATATAGAAAGACAATATACATTTTCAAAGAGAACAACAACGAAAAGCTGCTAAGTGTAAGTAGCCTGCCTTAATGGGGGAGGGGAAAAGTCACCAAAATAGAAGAGGAAAGAAAATGTCCTCTGAATTCTGCGAATTAGCAGAAATAACCTACATGTCATAAAAAATAATAGTCCATCTAGTAAAAGAAGGGCATGGGAGTGAGAAAACTGAACCCGATGGTTTCCAGGCCACCCTAAAGGTCGGCTACGAGAGCCAGGTCCATTTGTGCAGACCAGTGCCCCAGAGCAGCGTTCTACTTTAACGTTTGAGATGGGCGAGAGCCGTCAATTCTTACAGACTACCAAAAATGATTCCCTCCGAGAGTCTATTGGTTTGCTAGACACAGTAAACAACCCACTCCTGGAAAGACTTCGGCAAAGGCCACGTTGGTTTCAGGAGACACAGTCTGGAATTACGATGATGAACCCCCGATGCAAGCAGGATGAGGAAGCTTTAGTTTGGGAGTAAAACTTACGGGTGGGCGGGTGTTTGTGTGCACACGCTGGGTTCCATAGAGGAAAGGAATGGAGGCTTTCAAGCCATGGACTGGCTCGGACCAAAGTTTGTCCCGGGCCTTGCTCCCTGGCCTCATGCCCCTCCTCCCCAGGAGACCAAGGGAGGTGCCCCAGCCTGCCGCTCTCTTGCTCTGTGTACCACTTGAGTACTTGTGTTCTACCTTCTCCTGGAGGAAAACAGCCTGTCCCTGTAGGTTTGCTGTGGATCCAACAAGCTGCCTTTGTTTCTCCCAACTCCGAAACGTTACAAAAAGCAACAGAGTGGGCAGGTGACTGCTTCCTGGGAAGGGAGCCACAAGTCTTGAGCACAATGGTAGGAAGAGGGAGCCGTATCTATGCACCAGGGCCTATGCCTGCGTGTGCCTCCTTTGAGAGGCACACGCACTCCCAGACTACAAGTATACACGCAAACACATACGTATGCACACACGTCAGGAAATCCAGCAGAAGTACAGAGTTTGTTACGTGCACTCTACTCTGCACAGCATATTCAAGTTTCTCATGAAACAGGTACATAGAAATGACTGATGGTTGACCTCCTCCAGAATGCCCTCATCACAGATAGTGGATGGCGCTGATGCACCCAACTAAGGCAACAGAGCAGAAGCAGATAGAAGATATGTGAGACCGTTGACTAGCTAGAAATTCCAGAATCTGTCTTGTCACTGGGGAATATGAACGCACAACAGTTTTGTACTGAGAGCACCTCACACTGCGTGTGTACATGCATAATGTGTACTCACGTATAGACATTTTGGACAGCAGCCGTGACCTACTAGCTGGGTTAAGTCCTTTTCATTACTGGAATCTACATCGAAATGACAAGGATTTTGCTGGGCAATTCCAAACTTCTGTTGTAACAGTAGTGGAAACAGATGTCTCTTATGGGGTTAATTTTTTTCTTTTCTATTTTACGTGTATCAGAATCTCACTGAGGTATTTGGAACCAAGGAAACCCCTGAAATTGCAAGAGGACTGGTAGGGACTTTCTATATCCTAATTAGGTATCTCAAAAGCCGGGATTCCCATAATTGTGGCTAGGTTTCCTCTATGATCTGCAGATTATGCTCCATCATTGAAGATTTGCGAGTTGTGAGTTTGCATTTAAACAAAGAACCACCAGATGGACCAGATGCTCACCTACACTGAGGAAAACTGAGTCTAGAAGTAAATATATACTGTATAAAGAAAGCTTTTTGTAGAGACTATTCTCCCTATTAAAGAAATGATTAAAACTGGCATACCAGGCACCTGTGATCATGTCTTATGGGATTTACTATTTGACTAATATGATGCCTATTTTACACCCAGCCCAGACCTATGTCACTGAAATAAGATATGAAAAAATAGCAGCCACTTCCTGAGAACTGTCAGTTCCAGAGAAGTTTGATGCCTCCCTGCAAAACCGCTGTTTTCATAGTCTTCACTCGTGAATAGGGCTCATTTTGATGATAATGCAACCATTAAAAAGCAAGAAATAGACGACTAAGACTTTGCACCCTTCCAAGCTCTCTAACCTCTGTTCTCTTCCCTGGGCTTTCTGATTTAAGGCAATAATTCTTTACTGTAAGTGGCTTCTGGTGAAAATACCTCGACTGAGGTCACTTCAGATTAGATTTCAGCCTGAAGGTTTTCAATAGGCCGGGCCTCAGGAACCACTGGAACCCAGGGTGTTTCAGTCAGTTATTTCAACCCAGGACATTTTTACCACTTTTCAGTGAAATACATAGTTCTGACAAAGAACACCATGCTCATGCAGCCCTCATCCTCTACTTCTCCATCCTAAAAAGAATGCAAAACAAATCCTAGTGTTCCAAACCATTTTTGGGATCTGTTAAGGTGCATCTCTGACCACTGTGGATTCAGTGTTCAAGGACAAAAAATTATTGAGAGACTTAGAAAAATCTCTGGGCAATTTTGATCAGGCTCATTATCGTAATACCTAGTGCTAGAAATGATGCTTTGGGTTAGTAATTTCCATGTTTTGTGTTTACACGAACACTGAGTCACTACAGCTTTTCCTCTTGCGGAGGTTTAAGCAGTATGAGAAATGGTAACTCCACACAGAGAGCCCTTGGGAATATGAAAATATTCTCACTGGAGAGCAAGAGCTCTTCTGCGCCCCCTTTTCTGTCTCCACATGCTGCCTGAGCACCAGGGTAGAGATAGCTTTTGAAAGTTTGCCCCATGCAATCTATTTCCTGGGCACCTCAGAGAAGGGTCTTTTTCTTCATGACAACGTGAAGAGAAAGGGGCTGCCCCCATCCCAATGGGGAGGTTATGTGGAGCCTCAGAAAGCCCCAGGGGGCTGGGTCAGCACAAGCACTCTCTTCAAGCACTGCAGATGGAAAGGCCTTGGGTTGCCTTGCTTTTTCTATGGAATTAGGAAATCTATTGAAATTCTAGTGCACCCTTCCTTTTGTTTGTTACCAAGTCACATGGTTCTGTCTTTAGTGTCCTATTTTATTTTATTTTTTTAAATTTCTTTTTCTGGGGGATAAAATTGGCCATTTAAAGAAAGTTCTTTTCTAGTGAGTAAAGAGGTTTCTCAGAGCCAGAAATCACTCAAAAGAAAGTCTGTCGACCCTACTACCCATGGAAAAGCCCAGAGATTTCTCTAAATACTTCTTGCCAAACTTCCTAGGGTTGGGATTGGATGTTTTTTGGTTTCGCATTATTGGGTGCTGAATACAGTGTGCAGTCCTTTTGTTCTCTTCCCCAGGGCTTCCATTACCCTGGACTTCAACTCATGACTAAATTAAAGAATTCTTTCAGGAGATTTCTTTTAAGAGTCAGGTCACAACAGAAACGGCACCCTCCCTTCGAAATCCCAAGGGCATCTCAGGTTGTGTCTGCTCTTGCATTGCACCTTCATTTTGTTTCTTTTTTGCACAGCAGAAGCAGTCCTGATTTGGTTATCTGATACCTCTTCCGCAGAATCTCATACCCTCTGCTCCCAGCCTCAGCTGATTAAATAACATCTTCTGTAACAAGAGAGAAAGTCTCCTGAATGGGTATGTCGAGTATGAATCCTGGCCAGATCTAGCTCACTGCTCCCTTTCCTAAAGGCAACAGGTGTTGGGGAGCATGATGGAGGAAGCACATCTAGGAAGGTACATGAACCTTTATTATGTTCTGTCAGGGACCTGAGGGATTTTATAAGGGGCACACCTCATTTTCAACTGCTGAGGGAAAATAGATTTGGGGTATGGGCTGGGCACATACTGCTGGTGTGCTTGTAAGATGGACACACAAGTAGGTCAAGGCATTAGGACTTACTTGAAGCTCATACACCCAGAGGAAACCTTTTTACTTCTCATATCAGAATGTATAAATTCTAATGGTTCATGGGTTCCAAAGGGGTTTCTTGGTCCTTATAGAATATTGGGATGGTAAATAAAACCCATAACTTTTCAACAAAGCCAATCCAAGTCTTTTCCTTCTAGGGCTGCGAACTATTGTGGGCTCCAAGATGCCTCAGAAGAAGGAATAGACTAAAGCTGGAACAGAAGAAGGAAATTATCCACCACACTTACTCATGGCACAAACAGTTTCAGAGCATTAGGAATCTGGGCAGGAAAAAGCCTATGAAACTATTATTAGGACCTAAAGTTTACAACTCAATTAAAATATATAGTAAAAGCCATTTTGATACAGACACTTTCATTTCAAATTATTTTTGCCTTGCTTGTTTCTTAATCTTTTCCCATGTGTAAATCTGTATCAGATCCATCTGTTCCAATTCCTTCCTTTTTGGGGACTATATTTTACACATTTCGGTTTTTTTTTTTGGAACAAATATTGGCATTTATTATAGTTATTGCCCTCCATGCTGAGATGCTACCAATGTTTTCAGTGCTGGGAAATTTTATTTTTCATAACTATATCTAAATGTCATGAGATAAATATTCTCCTTTGACTTTTTTTCCTTTCCCTTGTTCAGCTAACCCACTTTTAAATCATAAATTACTAAAAAAAAATGTTCTTTTCCAAACCAGTTCTTGTTCCCTGTATTCATCCTAAGAGGTCTTAAATCTGGAACATTTGCTTCCATTTTATCTATTTTTTTCCCCTGACTACTGAAAAAAAATTTTTTTTAGCACTCATAGCATCCTAGCATGAAGTTCTAAATGTAAGAAGATTGTTGCATTTGAAACTAAAAAATAAAGGATTCATGCTCATCGTCTATTCTTGAAGCAAAATGTTTTCCCCATTTCTTAAGATGTTGGGAATTATTTAATTTAAAAGTAAGGATTGCCGATCTAAAAGCATCTTTATCCTTTTGAAATAGGTACAGTCTAGTTTACATCGGTTTAGAAGGTAGCCCTTTCAAGAGATCAGTAATGACCCCGTAGCAAGTTCATGGCTCCCCAGTTTAGATCTGCAGTCTAGCTTCTTCCTCTCTCTAGAGAACAAATCTGCCAACTATTTTAGACTATGAGTGTTTGGGAGGAATAGACATACAGTAAGAAAAAGTCGACTGCTATGCAAACCTGGAGAGTCCGTGTGGTTATAATGACTGCATCACCTCCCCAAGAATTCTTGGGGAGTTCTCCAACATTTTTAAAAAAGAGATGCTTCATTTGAAAGGAAGGGATGAATATTAGTGTTTCAAACCCAAGTGGAAGTTCTTCCCTCTACATGTTCTATAGCAAAATGTGGATTTTATTTTAAACCAATTGCTTAGATTTTCACATGGCAAATCAGCATTAGGGTAAATGGGTCTCCCTCTGATTTAAGAAGCAGATTGCTAAATGTGGCCCACTATGGCACCCAAGATCAACTTTTCTAGAAGTATTGTAAATTCTGCCTACTTTGCTAAGGTTGGAATAAGGACACTATCTTACTTAAGTCAGCTACTGTCAAATAACTGAAAAAATTTTGAAGTGGCTTTTGGCTTCTTCCTTTGTAGCACATGCTGAGTGATTTCATGTCATTTTTCCTCCAGATTAAACAACTTTTTTTCTTAATGTCAATTTTTTCTTTTTTATGTCATGGGTTGAATGAGTTGTTTTCAAGAGATCAAAACAATTCCATGACATGGTTAATTAACTAATGCTCCCTCTGTTGGCAGTAAGTGGAAATATAGAGTCTTAACAACACTGCTATTTTTAAATGCAAAATTAGCAGAGAAAAATGGACTTTATCTTATTTCTGAAGCTGTTCCCCACTAACTTTTAAAACAGGTCAATTTTGGACACATAGCTCTTGTTAGAACTCCTCTTAGAAATCACGATGAGTGACACTCATCAGTTAACCATCCAAGTCTACATTAAACTTCTAGCAAATTATTTACCGAATAAAGGACCATAGGACCAAATAAAACCCACATATACCCTAGTTGCACTAATCCTACTAAACATCACCAAGAACTTATGGAAAAGATCCGAGTTAACCAATATCTAAAATATACGAGTAAGAGCATTTTCGCCATTACAGAGTTGCTTCCCTTGGAAGATTTCTTCTCATTTGTTGCAGTTTTTGCAAATAAGTCGCTGACAGGAGAATTAAAATGCAAAGCAATTTTGAAACTAAAATACTGTCTTTGCTTCTTTTTTTAAAATTGTGGTTTGGTGTTTCTGCTTTGTTTAAAGATGTCCTTTTCCCCCCTGAAGAGTGTTAAAACATGCCCAGCAATAAAATCACCTTTGGAATATTTGTTAGGCTTAAGAATTCTTCTATTTGAGATGGAATCCCTTCAGGACACTGTCTAGAATGGAAAAATCCCTATTACGATGCTTTGATCAGGACCGAGGAGAGAAATCCCAACTAGGAAGAGAGAGTGGCATCTAGGATGATGCAATGGACTGGTGGCCTTTTGAATGATGGATGTTGCCATCTGAGAAATATCTGTTAATTTCTTTAAAACTTTCCCAAAAGCAAGGGTTAAGAAATCATCTAAAGGACGGTCATCTTATTTCAACCATGGTGGAAATAGTCAGAAGGTGACATTTGAAAGGAAGAAAGTAATTTTGGCATCAAGGCATCCTGATCTGTACCAGGCTTCTGATAACGCTGCTCTCTGTAGTTGTGAAGGGTGAGGAGGCCTGAACTCCTCCTCCTGGCTGACCACAAAAGGAAAACCCATTTGTCACGGCCTCTAGACTACTAGCGTTTCCTTAAAGAAAAGAAGTAAAGTCAATAAAAATTCTAGAATCATAAGATCTCAATGAACTTATAGAGAAGCAAGGAATCTGTTTCTGAAAGATAAAGTCCTCCCATGAAAAAGAACAGAATTCTAGATGGATCAGTTGAAAAAAATATTCAGTGGAGCAACTTAACGCTTTGCTAAAAGTCAAAGAACTACGTATCAAAATACAAAGCAGCAGGTTCAAATTACAGCAGGGATGGGCTGGCCACAGAGGCCCTCAGCAACCCAGGCAATACTTAAAATAATAAAAATTAAGAAAAATTAAAAAAAATATGAAGAAAATATCCTTCCTCTCTTTCAAATATAACTTTAATTGCCTTTTATTCTTTCTATCTGGAAGCAGTAGCGCTAACCTTAACAGTCTTGACTTACCAAAAAATATATATACGTGTGTGAAATAAAAGAGAAGGGATCGGTGGCAGTGTATGCAAAACCAAAACGAAAAAAAAATTACTTTTAACAATCTCACTTTTTTTTGTTTTTTTTTACACAAATACTGTCGTAAATATATTAAAAAAATCAGCATTCTATCTGGTAAACGTCACTTTTGCCCCTCTATAAAATTTTGAATTAAAAAAGCCTCAAGAACTTTTTATTATTCCCCCCCACCCTCCATTTCTCTTTCTTTTTCTCTTCCACAAGAATATATCCTGACACTTTTTTTTTGTTTTTTTTTTTTGCAAAGATTGTTGGAAATAATCCTTCTCTTGTACCTAGAAACATAGGTGCAAACCTCTGATATCTTTGTTTTATCTGCATTCCTGCCTTTCATGAAAGTCCCTCTTGATTGTGCTGAGGCTGTGGCTCAGCGAAGACACTGAATAAATACGATAGCCACTGTTGCTTGATGCTTGTCCAAGTCTTCCTGGCTTCTGCTGAAAGGGGGGATATGAAGGAGGTGGGCCAGGGGGTGCAGACTCAGCAGAATCTGGGGGAGAAGCCTGCCATTCGCCTTTCCCACACCACCCAACCCACTGCCCGTTCCCACCCCCCCAGCCCTTTTATGAAATCAGACAACGTGGTAGGTGGAAAACAGCAGGGCCTTTCCTCTGGGTTTTCAACCAGAAGCGATATTCCACAGTTTTAACTGGTTACTGTGAAGTCCGAGCGGCCAGAATTGTGAAAATGTCCACTGAAACACTGCAAGCGGTGTACTTAAAGACAGTAGGCCTTTTAGATTTTGTTATAGATTTTTTTGTAGTGCTCTTCACAAGTGAAAAAAAAAATTTTTTTTTTTACTTTTTTTTTTTTTTAAAGATTTTTTTTTTTTGTAAAGAAGGGTTGTATTTAGAGGCCAGTAGCTAGAGATCCAACCAGTGGACCTCTTGAAGCACTACCAGGCCTTAAGGCCACCATCCGAGGGAGGCTGGGAAAACTATCATTCACCCGAGCCTCCGGAAATGTAATGTACCAGCAGGCAAAAAACAGTTCTTCATGTAGTACAAAATGAAACGAAACAAAAAACAAAAACAGAAAGTAAAAACGAAACCAAAACATTTCTTAAATTCTAGTGCCATAGCTTTTTTTGTTTGTTTGTTTCTTTTTTGTTGTTTTGTTTTGTTCATAAGAAAGAGAGAAAGATAACTACTTATCCGTCAGACACGTGCATCCTCATGTGGTCGTTGAACTGCTCGATTTGGTCAAACTTTGCTGGACAGACGGAGCAGACGTAAGTGGTCCCCTCGGTGCAGGCCACCACCCCCGGGGGGCCGGCGCGGGCACCTGGGGGTGTTCCCGCGGGAGGGGTCCCGTTGCTGGCACTGTGCAGGGCCACGTGTCGCTCCAGGAGGGTCTTGTGGGAGAACTTCTTTTTGCAGATGTAGCACTCATAGGACTTCTCCCCCCGGTGGAGACGCATGTGCACATTGAGAGAGCTTTTCTGGGTGAAGCGCTTGTTGCAGATGCTGCACTGGTATGCCCTCACTCCTGTGTGTGTCACCATGTGCTTGATAAGGTAATCCTTTAAGGAGAAGGAGCGCCAACAGATGCTGCATTGGTGGGGCTTCTCACCTGTCGGTGTGGGAAGAGACAGCGAGCAGGACGCAGCGAGACACAGCAAGGGAGAGAGAATGAGAGACGGAAGAACAAGACAACAGAAAACAAAAACAAAACAATTAAAAAACAAATCTGACTGGTTCACACTGCCCTGGAAAGATCCAGGCCTTCCTGGCCTGTCATGTTCTGAGAGACCTTGCTTTAAGGTGATGCCAGGACCATCTAGTTTTCCACGTCCCCAGGCCAGAAAATGGCTCTCTTGGAAAGCTACAAGATAGTCCCCCACTAAAGGCTTCCAAAGGACATTCTGTGATGAAAAGGGATGGCGACTTTTAGGGGGTTGTTTTCAGCATCATCATGAGGAGATTTAAGTGTGTGTTTCCCATTAATTTTATCAAACACACGCAAGAAATAAGAGAGAGGAGAGATCTTTGAAGACGTAGGGTTCTCTAGAATCTTTAGAAACCAAGGACAGTGGTTATATAGCTTGGCTCTTCGGGGGACAGTCTCCATTTCCAGTATTCTGTCTAAGTGAATGCACCTGTGCCTTGACAGGTCTGGAAAATATTGGCCAAGTCATTACTGTTCCAAAATATAGGCACAAGTCGTTCTGAAAAGCTACACTTTAAATTTGATTTATTTTACACAAAAATCTCCCTGAAATGTAACGTTAGAGTTAACTGGCTATTCCATCTTGACTGCGCTGAGCTGCAGACTGGCTTTGTCTGGTACGGAGGTTGAGTAGGTGGTGGACAGCACAACAGAGTCAAATGGTCCTGTTCAAATCCGGGCACCAACGCTCGGCACGGCTCTCGGACGAGTCTCCAAATGCCTCTGAGGTATACAGTCCTACTTACCTCACTGTGCTAGTGTTGACATAAATACATATGAAATCACTTTGCAGACCACCAAGGGTGGTATGGGAATACTCTCATGGTATTCTTATTGCAAGACTATCCTTTCCCCCGACCCCCAATTAAATGGTTCCATACGCATTTTTGAACTCTGGGGTCAATTTAAAAAATAGTTTTCTCTTTCTTTGTTCTCGGCCTGTTGGCGGAAATCCTTCTTTCTCCTGTTTACTGCTTTGGTTTGCTGTTGGCTTAGAAACCAAATGTTCAAGCCTGTTAAAAAGATTAAGGTAAGCAAAAATACTGTTACTAAATGTAATACTACTACTACTAAATGTAGTAACATCCACGGGCCTGTGACATCTCTTTGGATGAACAGACCCTTGTTTTTGTTGGTGCTGTTTGTTCTCAGCTCTGCTTTTGACAGGTGAGATGAAATGCCTTAGGGTGCTTCCATCTGCCCCACCTCATTACTGATTGCCTAGTGGAGGCACCCACCTCGGAGAAAAAAGTTCTTCTATGTACTCTTCCATAACCCAGCCCAAGGCCCCAAGCCTTTGAAACTCTCTAGTGTAACCATTCAATATCTGGATTATGTATCGGGGTAAAAAATCTATTTCTTAAAATTGAGTTAACTTCCAATTAAAATATGTGCCTTGACTGTGTTTCTGTTTTCCCCATTATGAAACAGAAGAGGTTTGAGGTGTCATAGTAATAATGGCAATGAAAACAATCACCATGTATTCAGTGCTTAATATGTGTCAGGCTCAGTGTTAGTGCTTTATGTTCATGATCTGTTTTACAAAACTTGATTTCATCAGAAGCCTTTTCTCATTGTGTTTGTAAATGTAAAAGGATATGTTTTGAAGCACAGGACAGTGAGGAATGGTTGTTTCGTTCAGGAATCACTCTACCAATTTCTTAACAATGTCATTGGTCTTTGAACCCTTTTTTCCTTAGTTATTCACAAATGTTTTGGCCTAGCTCCCTCTCCTCTCGACTCTTCTCTGATTTCTTTCCCTACATTCTCACTGATGGGACAGGATAGGTCCATAGGATCATAGGGTTAGAAGAGAAGAAGTTCACTTCTGGACAAATGGGGGACTTTAGGGAAGCCTCATTCCTAAAAGAAGACTTCAGTCTGTGCATGGTGTTTATGTAGGTACATTCTTTTGAAATGAGAGATTCCCAAAGAGAGACAGCCGTGTGTGTTATTTTTAGTTGGAACATTTCTGTCAGCTGTAAACATGCTTGAACTCAAGCTGGTCTTTGCCATCCTTGTGCTTTGAGTATGTACACTTTCTAGAGGCTACGATAGGCTGGCCAACCATCTTTTAAAACATATCCACCTATCACCTTTAATGGGAAGCTTGCCTTCTTAAGTTCCAGATGGTATTGTGGCTACTGAAACTTTATGTTTAAAATGCTCTTGCTATTTGAAACTTTCACCTTCTTACAGTGTGTTTTTCCTCTAGGCAAGGTCACTCATGAAGGCTTTTTGCTTTCACAACCTTCTAATCTGACTATAAATTGATTCTTCACAGTTGTTATCTTTCCCTCCATAGCATACATCTGTATGTTGTTTGTATGCATGTAGTGTTGGTTCAGCTGTTAATTATCTGTGTGACCCTGGGCTTTCTAAATCTCCCTGGGTTCGTTTCCCCTTCTGAAAGCAAGGAGCTGGACCAAGCACTTGCCATGGCCCTTTGCAGATTTAGTGGCCTTCTGCCCACCCTGACCCACAACCCCTGAGGACTCTAGTCCAGGCCTTGTCAGCACATGACCTGAGGGCAACCTGCTTCAATCACTCACTGCATTAGCAGTCCCACATTTTAAATAGGACAAAGTATTCTGTTCCCTTCCCTGCCACAGAAAATGGTATGATAGTTAATGAGGAAAAATGTTTGTAAAGCACTTGGGAGCTCCTTAAAGGAAAGCGCTCTCTATAATTATTAAGGTGCTGTGTTGGTAGAGCATAGGTATTTCAAGAACTGTCGTACTAAATTGGGCATATTTTCAGATTAATCAGGAGTCTAGAACTTTCATTTATATATGTGTGAATTTGAGACACTATCACTCAGTAGAAATGTTAATATTTTTCTTTCTTGTTATTTTTCTGTCTGTTGCATATAGGGACCCCGAAAGGGCTTTCAACATTATACATGAAATGGATGTGGTCTGCTAATTGTTGCTTTCAGTGTGGAGAAATGAAGAGTTAAGATGAGTGGAAGTGGATGGCTCTTCAGGACTGAGACTATAGTCAGGAATGGCAAGCCCAATCATTGTTAGAAAGAGACACAACATCCAAAGCAGACACTAGAATTATAACATAAGGGAGAAGCTCATATAAGCCCCTTCACTTTAAAATGTTCCATTTTGGGCTATACCGATGTGGGAGTCAGATATGAATTTCATTTCCTTGGCTGAGTGACTTGGGTATGTTACTTAACCTCTATAAGCCTCAGTTTCCTTATCTGTAACTTGAGAGTAATACAATAAGACCTGTCTTGTGAAGGTATTTTGAAAACTAAAGAGATAAAGCACTTAGCAGAGTATGTGATCATTTTAAGAAAAAAAAAAAGTCAACTGTTCTTTTTAGTAGAAAGAAACTGATGATAAATGAAACCAAATGAGAAATAGTTTGCATTGCATGGGGAAGCCAACTCAGGATAAGAAATTTTTTTTTTTCTGATAATCAATAAAGTGATTATACTGCAGCTTTGTAATTCAGAGTTAAGGGTATAGTCCGCTCTCAGTTACATATGCTAATGACAGAAGCAGTATCATGAATAAAATGTCAGCAGACAGCGCTGACGGGGGGTTTCTGAGCAAGCGACAACTGAGTTCTGGAGGCCAAGAAACTATATGCAAGTGGAGAAACCAAAGGGGCGGCAGTGTCCTTTACAATTCCAACAGTGTGGGGGGAGCGGTGAGCGTATATACTCCTCCAGTTTTTGATGTCTGTTCTCTAAAGAGCCTCTTTTAAACTCCTTCTCATGGACCAGCACTGATGCTTTACCATGAATGACAAGTGAGGGAAGAAAGAAAAAAAAAAAAAAAAGAAAAGAAAGGAAGAGAGATACTGTTAGGTTAGTAGATACAGAGGGTCTGCCCAAAGTTTAAGTAAAAGATATCCTACTGGGCTGAGACACCCCAATTCTGAATAGTGACTTCTGTATTGGGGGCTCAGCAAGAACACATTTATTCTGCTGATTCTTTCTCACTCTAACCAGGCTTCTCCAGGCTTGCAGAAAGTACAGTGAATGCTATTACCAGGATGTTTTCAGAGGCACTGTTCCCACCTGTCTCTACCATGCTCTTGGCATCTCCATCATCTACTTTAACACGACACCCTCTTTTTTAGGTGAGTATGGTGAGGGGTCAGAAAACCAAAACTGGGAGCTTGGAGAGAGGGTAGGTAGCAGGGAAGGAAAAGGAGAGTAGGGGTCAGGGAAAGTGGTCACTTGCAAGGAAGGAGTCCTGGAATACAGAACATCAAGGTCAGAACAGAAAGTGGGAAAGGTTCAGTGGCAAGAATGGAAGGGTGCTCAGACAGAGTCACAAAGAGCTTTCATTGGCTGGAAAGTCTGCTCTCCACCAGAGAAGTCTAGCTGAAGGAAGGCCTACACACCTGAGATATGGTTGGTGTCCTTTGCCTCCACTTCTGAGGGTGCGATCCTGGTACCAGCTTGGACTGTGAGGCTGACTGGGGGGGGGGGCGCTGTTTAACTGGGGACACATTGCATTCAGAGAGCATCTGTGGCTTCAGTGACAGGTAACATATTTTGGTGTTGGCAGAATTTTGAAGATCTCAGGGAACTTCATCCATCTACAACTTTATGAGCAGGTAGATACTAACATCCCCAGAAGATGGTATTTCCATTAGAGAGGTAATGTCCTGAGGGTCACCCAACAAGTCAGTAACAGATGAGAGGATGATTTCAGCCTAGCCAGATTATCACCTACTCCTCCTGTTAACGATTTCCTGCCCTCTGGATTATGCTGCAAAATGTATGATATTACTGTAACATATATCTTCTTTTTTTTTTTATAAGTTTATTTATTTTGAGAGAGAGAGAGAGAATGAGTGGGGGAGAGGCAGAGAGAGAGAGAAAGAGAGAATCCTACGCATGCTCCATACTGTCAGCACGTAGCTGGATTTGG